TTAATTTTTTTAATCTAACATTTTTTTTTTCTAATTTTTTTTTTCTAATTTTTTTTCTGTAGTTTGTCTCTAATATATAGTAACTTGTTGATTTGCACTCATTTAAGGAATGTGTCCAACATTTTTGTACTTTTTATTATATAAAATTATTGCATTTCAATAGTCTACAATAAATATTCACCCCAGAATTTAGCACTAACCATTGAATTGCTAGTAATTTTTTTCAGTTGTATGAGAAGTTCATTTAAACACTGGTGCACATTTATTTTGTATTTTGGCTTCATAACATTTAGTATAAAATGTAGATTTAGTGCTGCTTTTAATGAAGAAGAACAATCTGTTTTAATGTAGACCTTATTTTTGTTGAATATTATATACATTCATACATACATTCATACATACATTCATACATACATACATACATACATTGTAATGTTTTTTTGTTGAGGCAGGACCAGGATTAATCTCCCAGAAAGCAAAGTGTGGCCTACCTCACAAAGGATTTGTCATAATGATTTGAGGCAAGGTTTTACAAGGCTAGATGCTCTTCCTGATGTCCAATTCAGACATTCATGATAGTCCAAGTAAACTCAGTGTTTTTATCAAGACACCAGCTCTAAGAAGGTTGCCATTCAAGACTTGAAATTCTCATCCTAGCCTTATATATTTTTATTGAATATTTACACATAATGACTTTTAAAAAAAAATCTTCTATGTGCTGTGTCCCTTCAGAACATGTGGGATCATGGCTCTACACAATTTCTTGTCCTTTTAAAGCTTTTTTTGTTTTGTTTTTTTTTCTCTCCTAATCTCTGTTCTGCCAACTGATACAAGCTACTTAGATCAAAACAGCAATTATGATAGATATTTTGGTTTTATAACAACTATTCAAAATGAATTTTCAATGCTGATCAAACACCAATGACACAGTAATAAGAATATAGTAAATATTTAAAAAAAAAAAAATAATGAACAGACATTACTTACAGAGAATTAGAATGTAACACTTTAACATAATATAACAATTTTTAATATAACATTTTTGTGGCATATACTCTCAAGGAGATGCTTTGCCAATCACTACAATCTTCAAGTCTATGATCAAACATTATCTACCCTACATATCCTCATAATTCTCCTCTTATATTCATACAACTTCATTCAGTAACCCTCTACCTTGAGTAGCTCTTGAATTTTTCATTAGGTGGACATTTAGGAAAATATATATAACTAAATGTTCACCTATTTTGCACATACTCAGTTTTGCAGAGATTATAACTACTTATCAGGAGACATGATTATAAAATCAATGGTCTAAATTGTAAATTAATACTCTATCTCTTGATATTGAGCACTACAATTACAAAGACTGCTTGTCTTAAAAACATCTCCCACAAACACTCTGACTGATCTTTTTTTTTCTTCAAAAGAAAAAGAAAAAACTTGCTCATGATAGAAATGTTGCAATATCATTTTTCAGTATATTTAATCTAGTTGTGTTATTAGTCCCTAATCAATACTAATCTATTCATTGGTAAAGCATAACTGACATAAGAGTTGTCATAAACTAAAGCATTATATAATAATTGTGCTTGTCCCTCTCTTCATTAATTCCCTAGTTCACATGACCGTTACACTCTACCAATACCTCATAAATAATGGATTATTCTGTTTTGGTTGTGTGGAACAACAAAAGACATCAGAGATGCTGCTTGGTTTCAGTGAAAAAAGATAGATAGATAAATGTGTTTAATGTCTCCTGCTAATACTTCATTATTCCATTTTTGATTGTGATAGGGGAATTTCTACAGATATTTTATTATCATAGAACTTGCCATGAGCTTATTCAGTTTACATTCATCAGAAATTTAAAATAGGAAAACCATGAAATTTTCACAGGTTAAAACTAGTTTGTAATAATTACATATTTTTACCTAAGTACTTTGTATCATTGGATCAGTAGGTATTACTATTTAACTATCCATACTTTTTGAAGTAGTTACTAATAGATATGCTTATCTCTTTTAATACACTGAATATGCAAACTAAGCATACTTTTTTTTAATAATGAATTATTGGTGAACCAAATTAAATATTTTCCAGGTATTTAATTCAAAACATATTTTATACTAGTTTAAAAGTTCAACAATAATTCTTCTACTGCCACTTAATTTAAAGACAGTTTGATGTACATAGAGCCCTACTTTCCATACAATTATTTTTATTTCATGAATTTCGCAATTAATTTCAATTATTTCCAAATTTATTTTCAAACTATAAATGTTGTTATCAGATAAAAAAAAAATTGTTGAAAAAAATTACGTAAAAAAAAATCACCAAAAATAACCGTAGTAATGAAAACTTGGGAATCCAAAATTTCAGGATTGCATGTCCAGATCCAGTCTGGAATGTTTTTAATTTGCTCACAGAGTTGGCCTGATTCCAAAATGATATGTTGGGCTATGAGCCTCTAGGAGTAAAGTTGAAAAAGTGTGACATTGACACACTGACATTTGCATTTATTATAGAGTAGAACACATTTAATAATTTCCTATACTATTTTCATATGGCTTGTAATTGATGATAAATTTTAAACTTGGTTTCTTAATAAAAGTTAAATTAAAATTGATGTCATTTATCAATTTTGATGAATGCTAATATCTTAAATATTAAATCTGGTTGACACTGTCATCCTATAGATTTAATGGGATTGAAATAAAAGCACATCTTTACTGGTGTAAGAAGAAAATATATAGCTTCATAGCAAAAATCATGCTTTTGTTTATTTTACTGAGTTTGTCAACAAGAAAATTTTGTAAGAAATGAGTGCTGAACTGCTATGCAGTATAAATCCTTCTAAAGGGTAGTGAATGCTGGACATTTTTCTCACAGATGAAGAGAAGTCTTGAGGCAACAGAAATGTGGTTCTATAAAAGGATGCTGAGAATGCCATTGGGTGGGGGCATATATAAACACCAAGGATTTTTTAAGGAAAATTGTAACAAAAAATGAAGTTTTTTAGAATCAGATAGGGTTGAAATTTCTAAGGTATATAATGAAGATTTGTAGAATTTAACAAGATATACTGAAAGCAATAAAATTACAAGGAAATGGTAAGTAACTTAGGTAATGAGCATGTGTAAATGAATGGCAGAACAAAGACTGGGAGAGATAGTAAGTGGACAAATATTGCTTAGAGTTACAAAGGAATGGAAGTTATGGAGTGCCATAATTGCCTATGTATTAAAATTCATAAGATAGTTTGTTAGGGTAAAAACATAGTCATAAGAAATAGTTATAAATTTGAATGATGGGCAGGAAAAAATCATAGAGAAAATGGGTAATAGTTTTAATGGACACACAGGTAGTATAATCGTTATCAGTGCAGAAAGTGAAATTGGCAACTTACGTTCAAATTCCCACCTAATCTGTTGCATTTATTCTCATGTAATATCCTTTTGAAGGGCTAAAGAAGTGATAGATTTTTATCTATTAATCCAACAATTTTTATTATTTAAACATTATTTTTAGTGGATACCCATATTTTAGTAGACAATCTGTTTATTTATTAAACAGTATATTTATTTATTTTCGTCTACTGGCCTGAATATACAAGAAATCTTATTAAAGAAAAATATGCACTCTCTGGCAGGATTCAAACCTGTATCCCTCTAGGGAGGGGAAACTGTTGTTAGATCCACCATGCTTTTAAGGCACTATTCAAATTTGTTTGATCATCGACTCATTTTGTGGCCTAAATCATGTCAGATCAAACAAAGTTTCCCCTCTTCAGGAGAACACAGGTTTGAATCTTGTTGGAGAGCACATATTTTTCTTTAATAAGATTTCTCAAATATCCAGACTGGTAGACCAAAATAAATAAATATACTGTTTAATACATAAACAGAGTTTCTACTCAAATATGGGTATCCACTAAAAATTACATTTAAGTAAATAAAGGCATAAATATATCTTCACAACAAACCAACAAAGCTTGGTTGATTGGGATCTTTTAGCTTTGGATGGCAGCCAATTTTTTGTTGAGCAAGAAATCACCAATCAGTGGGTAGTGCCTTACAATACATATTTGCTGTAATAATTCAATTGTCATATCAGTGTTGAAATCCGCTCATCAATTCATTCAATCAAGTATTACATCAAATACATATCAAAGGGGTCAGATCAAGCTGTTTTTGTACAAAACCCCTACAGAAAATTTTTTCCCTTTGATCTAAATTAAATTTAAATTTGAACAAGGGAATGACTCTTATCCAAAATATAAAAGGAGAAAGTCAGAAGATGGAGGTCACATTGGCAAGATGATTGAGTAATATTGAAATGCATCATTTTTCTCCACAAATTATAACTATGATTTAAAATCAATCATTTTTTTGTTACAAAAAAATGTGTGACATGCAGCAAGGCACGGTTAATTTGGATAGTAATATGTATAAAAATTATATTTGATTTAGAATATTGAAATAAATGATATTTTAATAAACTAAATATTTTTGATAAATTTTACTTAATTTATGATAATTAAATCTTAATACACTAGTTTATTAAAATAATATTTACTTTTAAATATTACTTGTTTTATTAAAACTATTTCCTATTTTAAATAAAAATATTATTTTTTTATACTCAAAAGTGAACAATATGACTTTTTACTATGATTTTCCTACCATTACAGTTAAACCAGTTTACTTAATTTTCACTGAATATTGATTCATTTTCTATGGCTTATCAACCCTTTGCTGGTTATTTAAAGCCAGAAAATATTTTTAGATTGTAAGAATTTTTTTTTCTGAGGTAATAATGGTTTAATGTTACAAGTCTAATTAATTAATCCATAGTTGGTGGGGGAGAAAAGGTGGATTCATACCTTTCCAAAAGGTATTTGCATGCAAGTAAATATAATGAACCCAATGGGAATTGGAACTCTGTTCTCCAATTAACAATTCCAAGCTATTATCCATTACACCACCCACACATCCAAGCTTACAGCACCTGGTATTCCCAAGTGGTCATCCATCTAGGTACTGACCAGGCATAGCATTGCTTAACTTCAGTGATCATATGGGGACCATTGTTCACTGAAATATTATCACTTTCTTGATTTAGATAATATATATTGACTAAAGCCAATGTTACATTTTTATATAATAATGTCTAAATTTAAATTTTCTATTACAGTCTATTTTGTTTTAAGTTTTAAAGTAAAAAGAATTTTCTTGCCTTCATATTTTCCAATAATTTTTATGATTCTTTCTAAAATAGTTTGATAGATTTTTTTTCTTTGATCTGCTCCATATAAAATTATATGGATGTGCAGGTGGTGTAATGGATAACAGCTCAGAATGTGAAACTGGTGAGCCAAGTTCAAATTCACTCCCATGCCAATAATCTTGGGAAATGTATAAATTCATCTCTTCTCTCCTACCAAGGTATGGGTAAATAGCAGGACAAACTGGTACCTATCATCTTGGTTGGTAACCATTCTAGGAGAAGGAAAACTCTAAATTCAAACCAGCCTGGAAAAGGTTACACTACATCAGCATATGTGGTGCTCCTATGACTCTAATGGGTTATGGGACTCATGATCATGCATATAATATGGCTAAACCAAAAGCATTTTTTAAACCTGTCACACTATCAGTACACTTTCTAATCATACCAATAAAAATCTGTTTAAATAAATGAAGATAAGCCTGAGTAATTTTTTCAAATATTAAACATTATTAAAAATTTGTAAGAAATTCATAAAGTTGGATTGTTTGATGTAAGTTTTTTTTTTTTTTTTAAAAATACACATTTACTTTTAAAAAATACCTTACTTCTATTCTGTACAACTTATCATATTTAAATAACAAAAGAAAACCTATGAATGTATATGAAAATACAACAAAGTAATAAATAATTAAATCCCACAGGTACATACTTAACTGTTTTTTTTAATAGTTTATCCATTTTCTTCATAGAACAATGAGTGGATTTCTTGAGAAACTTTATAGCGTCTTATATCACCAGGACAGTGCATCTTGGTTTTGCTGTATTTTAAGTTTTCATATCCATTTCTAAATACTGACAAGGATTATTCTCTGACATTTTTAAACAAAAAGTTTTCATTATTGAACATTTTTCTAAACATTGTCCAACCTTTAAAGTTTTATCATAAAGGCAGAAATGTATAGATGTTCAGGTTTCCTATTTGACTTTAAACATTGTTTAAATACAGGAATAAAAGTTGTTTCTAAAATTGTATATTATTTTCTGAACAATATAATAGTTAAATTCCACAGGTACATATTTAAGTGATAGTTTATTCATTCTCTTCATGGAACAATGAGTTGATTTCATGAGAAATGTATAATGTTTTTTTTGTCACTACAAATCTGCATCTTGTTTTAACTGTATTTTAAGCTTTCATATCCACTTCTAAATACTGACAAGGATTATTCTCTGACATTTTTAAACAAAAAGTTTTCATTATTGAACATTTTTAAAATTATCTTCATATTTATTTATTTCCTATTGAGATGTAAAAGAAAAAATACAAAGCAACATCTAAAGACTACTGGATGCAACTTAATCCTAACAAAAGAGCAAGAAAGATGATAATAATAGCATTTTTAAAATGTGTAGAATACTGATTAGGACTATACTATTTACATTATTTGGACTATTGTCCTCAGTTTTGTTACCATATTTATCATAACATTTTGGCCATTGTACACTCTGGCCTTCTTCAGGTGGTTGGAATTTCGAACTGAACCCTTTATTTCGCTCGCTGTTATCTCCTGTTAATTCACCTCTCCACTGAACTCACAACTCTTTGGATCCTTTCACTGGATCTAACCAATGCCTTTATCCACTGTGCTATGTGTCCTTAAGGACATCTGTGTATGAATTTCTGGGACTTATAAACTTAATGTCTTCAGCACCATTTTTTACCAGTGCTCATATTGCAATTTTTGTTGTTATCATATCATGTTTTTACCAGAGCTCATATTGCAATTTTTGTTGTTATTATTGCTTTTATCTGGCACTCCTTATTACTGGTTCCCAAATTGTATTCATTTTTATGATTGGTCAGCTCAGGAGATTTTTGTGGTCTAGCATATGTACTGATTCCTTAACTTCACCAATTTTCCAATGATGTTCTTTGTCTATAATTTCAACCTGATCCCACAGAGATCCAGTGACAGGACCCAAAGAGTTGTGAGTTCAATACCTGGTTAAGGCAGTGGAGAACTTGGAGAGGTTTATTAACAGGAGATAACTGATAACTGCCATCCATTAGACATGGCACATGTCTCATGACTTTCAGCATGCTGAGTTCAAATTCTGGCTAACACTGTTATGTTCACTTAGCACTAATACCCTTAGGAAAGGTGTGAATCTATATTCTCCCTCATCTTAGCTATAGTTAAAATAGTAAAACAAGACTAGGTTCTCTAGCTTTGGTAGGGCAACCAGTTTAGAAGGACAACTCTGAATTCAAAACCATAGAGAAGACAACAAAAAAGTCAGTCCAAGAACAGTTATGGTGATTCACAGTTTACAGATATAAAGAATGGTTGGTTGTGGTAAGCCTTGGTCGTTTATATCCTGAAGGGACATTTTGTTTTTGGTTTTTAATCCTTCAAGATGATTCTTAAAAATTATTTTATTGTCTAAATGAGTTGATAAAATGTTTTTACTTTCTGTTAATTTATATTTCATTTATTCATTTTTTTTTTTTTTAACATTTATTTTATATTAATTATTTAACTGCCTGATATTTCTAAATCTCCAAAATTCTGCAAGGAGACATTTTGTTTCTGTTATGACATTTTTCTTTCTCACTGCATTCAAACTCTAAAACTCTGCTTGAATAGTATGGTGTTTATTCTTTCATTTCATGTATATTTCACATACCAAAATTTTTTTTTTTTTTTTTTTTTTAGTTTCACAGTCTTCACTGCTGTCATATTTCATGCATGCTTATACACCTGAACACAAAAATGAGATCACTTTCTTGAGCATCTTGACTACAACATATCACCTGTAAAATAAAGTCAAGTTCTTACTGATTTAACATTTTAAGCAACTTTGGCATTATGCCTTCCTTATTATCTTTATGAGATAGATGAAATCTTTTCAGAAATAGTTTGCCAATTTTAAATTGTTATGGTTATCTTACCTGTTTTAAATTTGATATAGAGATTATTATGCCTGTTTTCTTTTCTATATGTTTTCTTCATGATAAAATCTAAATATTTGATTAATATGCAGCAAAAATAATCTGCAGTACTGGACATATTCTAAAGGTTTTATTTTCATATAGAATGGAGGCAAACAAAACATGGTTGATGGCATGGCCGTTTAAATGAATCATATTTTTACTTTTTTTTTCATTATATGTCACAAATATCTATAAATTGTTTTTATTTGTTTAATAATGTATATTTTTACTCTGATATAAGTTTTCTGCTGCTGATAAGTACCAGATATACTCAAATGTAGTGTGAGCTTTTATGATCAGTGTTTTAAGCAAAAAATAGGGGGTCACACTATACACAGGTAATATTTTTTTTTTTTTTGAAGATGTTAAAAATCATGCATTTTCAGTAACTGGTTGCACTATACACATGTAACTGTTTTCTATAGTGGTTAAAATTCATGCAAAAAAATTTAGGGATCACATTATACTTGAAGTTGGTTTATACACAAGTATATACGGTAGTAGGTTTAAAGAAAAATTGAAATTGGAAAAATTTTATGTCTTGAAATATCAATAAGTTTTTTTTTTACATTTCATAATTTATCATCATTGAGAACCCTTGAGTATGGAAATAGTTAAAATGATTATTTGTTTCTGTAAATAGTAATTCATTTTTGAGAGGAATTCTTAAAGAAGGATAAAATTTGTAATAAAATACTCTAACATTGGAATGGTTTGTAGTAATAATTTCTTTCACTGTTAGTTTTCACTTTCTTGTTTTGTATTTCTTCTTATTTTTGTTACTTTTAGTCATAATTTTTCTGTTGTCATTGTTCTTCAAATGTTAAATAAGCAGCATGTATCAAGAATTCAAATCTCAAAAGAGATGTTTTTTTCCTAAGTTTCTTTTGAGATCTGAATTCTTATCCGTTAAAGCTTGTTTTAGCATGACAATATGTTACTGATTAGGCTATGAAGGCTTCACCAGCAGGTGCCAATATGAAAAAAAATAATTTGAATGCTTGTTTAAGCTTTAATAAAATTTATGCCCAAATTCAAGGGCTTTTCATAAAACTATTTGGAAGTCAGTTGAAGAATTCCATATGTTAGATGTAAGATAAAAAAAATTGAAATTAATTTATTTTGAATGTTTAAATATGACTGCATGAAAGTCAGTCTTCATTGCTTTGGAATTTATAGTGTTGCAGTTACATAGAATGTATTTTATATTTTAGGTATATTTGTATGCATATACACAAGGTGTCCCAATATAAGTCTATTGACAAATTTGACTTTGTCCAAATTTATATTGACTCTTATCATTGTCCTTGAGTCTATGATATGAAACAAAAGTTTAATTTTTTTTTATATAGCTATTATAAATAAATCTGGTAATATTGTTTATTTGAAATAGAGAAATAATTTCTTTTATTGAAAATAGTAAGAACCTAGTAGTAGTGTGTGTCTTCATAATAGAAGTCGTTAGCAAAAGAATTTTCTTTTATGATTACGAGAAATATAATGATGAATACTTTTCATAGTAAATTAGAATTATTTAAATCTTCTTTGTTTAAAAAAGAAAGAAAGAAAAGAAGGATGTTAATATAATTAAATTTAATGTTCTTTATGTTGATGAAGTCATTACCAATCAAATATTGTCTATTCAGTGAAATGATTTTCATGTAGCGAAATCTACTTTTGTAATTTCCAGGTTTTGCTTCTTTTATTTTTAAATTTACAATTGATTGCTATTACATAATATGGCACTATTTAAATGGAGTGGCCCATTCATAAAAAAAAATGGAGTGGTCCATTCATAAAAAAAAAATAGGGAACATTTTTTTGGGAGATAATTTTTAAAGATTAGCATTCTTTAGACTTTTCTTAGGCCATGACATTTGTCAGAAAAAAAGATACTGTTTTTATCATCATTTTATTAATTAGTGTACATAGTTTACTTAAAAATGTATATATCCATTTGTTTGTTATTTAAGAGAAACCTTTTTTAGCTCCTATCTCAAAAAATATGCAAAACAATTAAGACCAATAATTCTGTAAAAGTCAGGAATCAGTTTGGCACTATATTGATATAATAAACAGGATCCCACTTCTAAATTGATAAGAGAAAAAAAAATCAGTATTATTCAATTTTGTCAAGTGTTGCAACTTAAGGAAATGCTGACTACAAAAATTATTTCAAAAAAATATTTACATATTTTTTTACAAGTAGACCAGTCTATTAAAATAGTGCCCATAATACTTAGATATTCCAAATTCTTAGAGATTATCAGTCAGTGCTTTTACTAAGAAATGCACATTACTGAAAAACAATGTTCATCTTATCTATTCCCACTCTGAGTTTCAAGGAGATAGTATTCACTCATTAGGAAGATTGATAGTAAAACTGAATTTATTTGCAGAAAGAGTATAATTTTATTACCAGAAAGAAAAATTTGTTTTTTGTAAATTTATTAAATTTTATTATCAAGCTTCCTGACTAGTGGGTGTTGTGTCTGTGAACTCAAAGTAGGAACAGATAAGTTGAACATTTCATTTCATTTTATTTGTTACTATTAATGCTCTATATTTTAATATTGAGTGGTTAAGTTACAAAGACTTCTTGCCTTAAAAACATTATCTTCCAGAAATATCCTGGTCAACAGTTTTTTTGTGACAAAACACTATCATATATATATATATATATATATATATATATATATATATATATATATATATATATAATAGGTTGAAATTGTTTTTTTTAGTTTTTACCAAATACTCTATTTTAATTGCATTATATATAAATAATTGTAAAGAATAATTACATTAATATGACCAGAAGCTTCTAATGAATGTAATCTTTTTGAAACATATATTTTGTTAGTTAATTTTTTACAGTTGCAATCTTAAAGGTGAAAAAACAATGCTTCAAAATGTATATTATGTTCAAGAATTAAAAATAAATGCACTTTATTGAATGGAGAAAAAAGAAATATTAAGGAGGAAGCACTGGAAAAAATAATCTTTAAAATGCAAAATATATTTTGTATTTTACAGATTATTTTTCCTAAGCCTACAGGGATATAAAATTAATAACAAAAAATATCTGTTAATAATACAAGTTGTTCATGACATAATAATAATTTACAGATATTTTTGTCCTATTCCTAAAAAAATTTGTCTTTAAAAATACATTGGATCTAAAGAGTAGGGCTTATTGAAGGTTTAATGTACCTATATGAAAAATGTAAAATTATTTGTGCAAAATTTAAAACAAGAATTATAAGAAGTTATTTTTTTTTCTTCTTTTTATATTCATTAGCAAGATTTTATTTTTGATTTTGCAGGATTCTCAATAACATTGACATGGGTGGGGATGTACTAAGGTGTTCATCCAGATAAAATCAAAATTTGGATGTGAAAATGTATTTATTTTATAGCATACACAAATTGAATATTTAAAATTAAATAATGGTAATGGAGAAATATTTTCATGGTGTATATTTAAAAAGTAGGTTTTAAAGTTGTTTAAGAATCACTAATTAAAACAACATTTTTATTTAAAATATTATTTACATCTCTTGTTATAAATATGCTACAGCAATCAGTGTTTGCTAAAGTAATGAGATATATTGTGAGTAGAATAACCCATGAAATACATTTTAATATATAGTAATTATGTATAAAGACTTTTTTTGATATTTAATAATAAAACACTTTAATTCATTATAAATATGCAAAAAAGACATGAAGGAAGCATAACAGTTATCAGCATTGTAAAGAGAATTGGTGAACCAAGTTCAAGTTCCTGCCTAGTGTGTTGCGTTCACTTTCACACTAATGCCATTAGGAAAGTCATGAATTTATTTCTTCTCCTCCTAGCTATGAATTAAATAGCAAAGTATACGGGGTTCACTAGCCTTTGATAGTGGCTAGTTTATGGGAACAGCTCTGAATCCAGAACCATAGAGAAAGCAACAGGAAAACATTTGAATATCATATCAAAAAAGTCATATCACTTCACAGATAAAAAAAACTCTGTGAAAAGCCACGATCACTTGCATAGTGAAAAGGTATGGCATTAAAAAAAACTATTAAGAAAGACTAGAGAATTTTCATGAATGCCATTTTAAGTTTTTGTACTTAAGAAATTTGAATTTTAAGCATCCTAGTAAAAATTAATTTTTCATTGATCAGAAAGAAATATCTCTAGGCCACATTTTTGTTTCAAATATTATAAGTGACAATTTTTGTTTTGTTTTTAGTTCATAGCCAGTAACTGTAATTGTGTTAATCATATCTTAATTCTTTACTTTTCAGGAAATTACCTTCACTGTGGCAAAACGTTAAAATGCAGTAAGAGTTTAAGAATCTTCTGTGTTGCTTTAAAAATGTCTCATCTCCAAATACTTTCTAAAAATCTTAATTATATTTTCTCTGCTGGTTTTCCTGTATCCTTGCTTTTTATATATAAATATGTGTATAAAATTAGAAAACCTCTCAAAATTATAAATTCAAAGAATTTTTTTCCTATGAGATTTCATTGGCAACAATAATCCTTTCTATTGAAATAATTTGATTTGTTACTTCACTGTTTTTATAAGGTACATAAAAAAACAAATGAATTGCAATTTATATTAGCACTTTATAATTTCCTACTTTGTAAAAATTATGAAATACATTTAGCCTGTTTTGTGTTTATTTTTTTTATTTAATCATTTCACCCCAAACAAAGCAGTAAAGCACCTAAGACACAAGGGGTTACTGAGTGTGAAAGAATACAAAAAAAGAGAAACATTATTAAGGAGTGAGAACAATAGAAGAGCAATCAAGAAAACAATAGATAACAATTGACATTGCACTTAAATTTTTGAAGATCAAAGTTGATTGGAAAGCATGAAGCCGGAAGAGAATTCAACAAACAAGATATGCAAAAAAAAAAAGAACTTTGTATTTTATAGCTTTTATTTTTATAAATTTCTCTTATCTTAATAAACTGATCATTCCCGAAATATTAAGTAAATTATATTTGAAAAGTTATTAACATTCCCTTTTATAACTGGAAGTATAATACTATTCCAATATTAAAAAATATACAAACTCACTAAGTATTATTACTTTACTTATTTCTATTTACACTGAAAATGTTAAAAACCTATGAAGTATTGTTAAAATAAAGAATTTAAAAAAATATTGAATATTTTGAATAAATATGAGATTAGGATGACAGTCCCTAATTCAAATTAAGTATAATATGAATAAATTCAGGTGCAGATCAATTTTAGCACAAATGTTAAAAAAATGATATTGTTATCAGTTTTTGGTTACAGTTGATTATTACATAGTATAATATAAAATAAATTATCTATTTATTTGGATACCTAAATTTGGAAATATAAGCTATTACAGAAACTGAATTTTGCATGTATCATGAAATTTGTAAATACATCACAGTATAAATAATATACTGAATCATAATTAAGGTACATTTATATACTGTCCTTGATAGCATATAAGATGTCACTCAGCCTTGACAGAGTTCAAAAATGCTTATGCAGCCTTTTGTAATAAATTATTCTCGACCTTTATCCCACAGATAAAATATTGCCAGCCTTTCACTAGTATATCACTATTACTATGGGTATTTTTCAGTGCACCCACATGGTAAATGAATGTGACACAAATTCAGTTTAAAGTGGATTTACTGGCAATACTGTAGAAAATTTGCTCAATCCTCCTTGCCACTTTCCTTTTTGGGGATCCCTCAGGTGCCACATAATGACCCCAGTCCCCTCCTGAAAGGGAGGCACTGCCTGGGGAATGGTCCCCTGGAGCTTGAGCTTATTATTTGAAACTTTCCCAATGAAATTGCTATATGTTTAGAGTTACATTTCTTATTCCACTGAGCAAGTGGTATGAGTTACCTTCCTTAGTTTCACCAGCTTGGATCTTCACAGCTAAGATCCACCATGCTCTGTTCACAGTGGCAAACTGTTCCCATCCTTTTTTGTGTTCCTTTGATAAAAAGCAAGTTCCACTCAGACAGCTTCTTCTTCCCCAGAACTGTTACTTTGTGGAACAAATTCCCGAGAGAATGCTTCCCTGACAACTACAATCTTTGTCTCTTTAAGTCCAGGGTCAACCAATATCCATCCTACTCATCCTCATAATACTCTTACTATGCCCTTCCTCACCTCCATCAGTAACCCTCTATCTTAACTTGCCCTTGAGTCTTGTATTGGGTGAACTATCCATAAATAAAATTAAACAAAAATATCTCCTGGGTCTTATATCTAAAGTTAAAATAAGCTGTTTATGAAGATAAAATGTTCAATATGTCACTGTCACACTGACATTGATATTACACCAAACCTACTTCTCCTACTGCAATGAGGGAGGTGCTGCTGCAAGGTTGAAATCCCCAGTACTGGGTGATTTCTCCTATCTAAAATGAGGAGAAACATTTATTCCACTTCTGGTCCAAAAGTTAACTTCTAATTTTTATTTATTTACATATATAACTAGCAAACTGTGTTTACAGTATAAATAGTAGTATTTAATTTGCATAACAGTTTTTTTTAAAGCATATTTTAATAAATATTTTATATTATCTGTTCTATTATTCAAATTTTAAAAATTGCTATATCTATATATCATGTTTCTATTGAAATTGATTTTTTTTAAAATCGATTATCTTTGCATAGAAAGAATTTATATATTCCTTGTCAAAATTCATCCATAAGATAACAGAAAAATTACAGTAGCATTATAGTCTTTTTTGAGATTGATTTTTATTATTAATAAAAACACTAAGAGAACTTCTATTACAAGTTTTCTCTCTCTGTATGGTTGGTATTTAGTTAGCTACCTAAAAAGCAAGTGATACTTGTATTGCAGATATTGTGTAACATTTTTCTACAGATGTTGTCTACAACTTCTCATTCCTGGTGATTTCTTTAATTAAAATGCAAACAATTGACTTTTAACTTTCTGTTTCTCTCCTTGCACTTTACTCTGTTAATCAATCTCTACTGAGGTAAAATCGAAAATTACTTTCTCTTTTCCTTTTAAATTATTACAGACATCCTTGAATTTCTTTGCTTTTATGAGAAGGTGTTCAAAAGTTCTCAGTCCAAACCCCTTCCAAAAATCTGACCAAACTTCAGAAGACTTTAATATCTTTTTTTAAATTCCTTCTTGATATGAGAACTTTTCAGCACCCCCTCATAAATATCTCTGCATATGTGTGTTTGTAATTAAACCCTTATGCTTTTTAAATGTTCAAAAAATCAAACATCAGCTATTTTTAACTTGTCCAACTTTATGCAGAAAACCCACATTAGGTTATTAGAATTTTCCTTTTTCCTCAGGTTTGTTTAAATTACTCTACTGCAGATCGTATTAAAAATCTCTTTTTCAGAACATTTGACTTTCATTTGGTATCTGCTTTTTTTTTTTTTTTTTTTTTTTTTTTTTTTTTGGACCAGTATTCTTTTTTTTATGATTTTAATGTCAATTTCCATCATGTTGATATTTAATTATTATTGCCACTTTTACATGTTTATATGTGAATCATAAAGATATTACCAAATCTTCTATCCTCTACAGTTTTGGCTTTTCTTTTTAACTTTACTCTGATGCTTCTAAAATAAGCTATAGGAATATGGAGCACATTGGTTTTAATCTATAAAACTCTTAAACTACTGATATAATGCTAAGTGATATCTCGGATTTAAGTAATGATCAACTTCACATCAAACTTAAAATAATGTAAATTCTCACCAAACATCCAAGTAAGATCTCATTTTCCACATTCTGACAAAATTAATGGAACCCACAATATTTAAGTGTACTCACAAATAAACTATTTTTAACTATATAATTTTTAGAAAAAAAACAGTCTTTATATACATAAAATGATTATTTTTGTTATATTATGACAATTTACCAAAAATTCATTTTGATGATGTTTTTAATATATCAATATTATTTAGCAACAAGATAATTTAAAATAACTTAATATTTTAAAATCTGAATAAATCAAGATAAATTTTTATAAGTTTAGAAATGTAGTGATATTGTTTTATTTTATGAAAATGAGTCTACATTAATGTATGCCATAAAGAAATATTTTTATCATTTTCTGATAAATAGTTCCTTGCTAAAAAGAGTATTTCAACAATTCCTTAAAATAGATTTATTCTGTAAGTAAACTTAATATCATGGTTGCTTGAACTTTAATATTTTTTGGTGATAGGTTTTTTCTTTGCTGTGACTAATTTTACAGGGTAAAAATAGAGAAAAATAAGTTTTGTATAGACACCAGAGGCCAAAGGTTTTGGAAAACACTCTGGATTGAATAATTAATAAGTTCCATACCCTCTTTGGTTTAATTAAAGCGGAAGTTGAAACTATTGGTGTATGGCGTCCAATATTTTTAGAGAAAATTTTAACTAAAATTTAAAATCTACCACCTGTAAGATTACCATTAGCCAGCAAAGTAGGTAGATTGTACAAAAAGAGCTAAAATTTTAAAGAAATTTTATGCAATGATAAGTTGATTGTTATTATTGAGTATATGATAAAACCTATCAGGAAGAGAAATTCCCTCCAGTCCAAAGTGGGCTAGTAAATTAGTTTGTAAAAAAAAAAAGCACACAACCTTCAATTTTTAGGTAATTCTTTGAAGAGAGTAACCCAAAACTTTTGAACTATAGTCTGTGAGATATATATGTGATCATATCATGTTGAAGCATTGGTTCTTGAGCAAGTTAAGTAACATCAAACCTGGTCAATACCTAGATGGCTGACTGCTTAGAAATACCAGATGTTGTAAGCTTAGATGGTGTAGCTGGTGTAATAGATAATGGCTTGGAAATGGGAGTCGAGTTCCAATTTCAGTCAGGTTCATTATATTCACTTACATGCAAATACCCTGAGGAAAGGTCTGAATCCAACTTTTCACCCCCAGCTATAGCTTAATTAGTAAGATTTGTATCAGTAAATCATTATCTTTCAAAAATTCTTACAATGTAAAAATATTTGTATTTTAGATAACATGTAAAAGGTTGATAAGCTGTAAAAACAAATCATATATATATATATATATATATATATATATATATATATGATTTTTGATAAAGTTGTACTTTGTTTCAGAATTTTCTCCTGCTATCAGAGAAAAAGATTGTCATATGAATATTGCAAACATGATGATTTTACTGTTCTATTAGGCTGAATTATAGACTAAACCAAAGATTATTATTACATAAAAACAACTTAAAGTGAAGATATTATTAGATTCCTTATAAAAATGAATCTGATATGAGTTATTCATCAGTATATATATGAGATAT